GAGGCAAACTAGTTCCCCTCAATTGAGGAGTGGATAGAGAAATTGTGGTACCATTATACAATGGAGTATTACTCAGTGGAAAAAAACAATGGAATCTTAAATCACAGATAAATGGATGCACTAGGAGAAACTGTCATGAGTGTGGTAACCCAGTAATAAAAAAGAGAAGCATGGTATGTGCTCACTCATATATGGATTTTAGACATGAATCAGGAGAGTGTCAGTCTGTAATTCAACTAAAAGAGAGTCTGAGGAACAGGAAATATCCTAAGAGACATATGCATGGGACCCCAGAGAAGAGTAATAATGCATGATCTCCTGAACAGGTTGGGAACATATCGGGGGTTGGGGGGATATGGGATCTGTGACAAATGGAGGGGGAGAAGAGGAGAGTGTAGGTCATGGGGGTACAGGAAGGTTGAGTGGGGAGTAGAATAGGGGAAGAACAGGATGAGAAATACCATAATAGAGGGAGTCATAGGTTTGAAGAGAGGTCTGGCACCAGTGAGACCTCTAGAGATCTAAAAGGATGATACCAACTGTCAAGTGAAGCAATAGTGGAGAGTCTACGTTAAGTGCCCATTCCTGATAATGAACTTGACTTCTACCTTATATGCCATCCTAGAACCTTCATCCAGTGACTGATGGAAGCAGAAGCAAACACCCACAGTTAAACACTGAACTGAACCCAAGAAACCCAGTGACAGAGAGAGAGGAGTGATGAGCAAATTGGCAAAGAATGGGCTGACAAAACCAGCAGAGACAGCTGATCTGAACAAGGGGGAGCTCTTGGACCTCTGGCTGACCGTTGGGAGACCAGCATAGGACTGATCCAGACCCCGTTGAGTGTGAGAGTCTGGAAGCAGGCCTGGGCAAACTATGTTGCCCTGGGCAGTGGATCAGTGTTTATCCCTGGCATACAAATGTACTTTGTGTGTCAATAACAAAATGAGGGATTATCTCTCAGCCCGGACTCTTAGGGGAGTGCCTGGACCGTGACCTGCGTGAAATTACAGACGCTAGATATCCCCTATGTGGAAGGAAGTGGGGATGGGGTGGGAGGCTGGGGAAATTGTGGGGCGTGTGGGAGGAGGGGAGGGTGAGGGAACTGGGATTGACATGTGAAGCAAGCTATTTAAAATTAAAGTAATAAAAAAACACACCTCAACTTCAGAGACAGATATTACCTACAAGTAAAGGGTTGCAAAAGATTTTTCCAAAAAATGGACCTAAGAAACAAGCTTGTGTAGCTATCCTAACAAACTAGACTTCAAACTAAAATTAATTGAAAGAGATGAAGAAGGTATTTTCATATTCATCACAGGAACAATCCATCAAGATAAAGTCTCAATTCTGAACATCTATACCCCAAATACAAAGACACCCACATTTCTAAAAAAAAGCATTACTAAAAACACAGTTAAACACTGAACTGAACCCAAAGAACCCAGTGACAGAGAGAGAGGAGTGATGAGCAAATTGGCAAAGAATGGGCTTGCAAAACCATCAGAGACAACTGATCTGAACAGGGGGAGAGCTCTTGGACTCCAGCCCAACTTCTGGGACTGATCCAGACCCCCCCCAAATGTGTGTGCCAGTGAGGAGGCCTGGACAACCTATGGGGTCCTGAGCAGTGGACCAGTGTTTATCCCTGGAATACAAACAGACATCGTGTGTCCATAACACAAAGAGGGATGCTCTCTCAGCCTGGTCTCTTAGGGGAGTGTCTGGACCCTACCCAGAGTGAAATGACAGACTCTAGATATCCCCTATGTGGAAGGAATAGGCAATAGGGTGGGAGGCTGGGGGGATGTTGGGTGGGTGCGGGAGGAGAGGAGGGAGAGGGAACTGGGATTGACATGTAAAACAAGCTATTTAAAATTAAAGGAAAAAACCTCAAATCATACAAAATCTCACACACTAATAGTGGGAGACTTCAGCACCCCACTCTCACTGCATAGAACAAAGGATGACTAGCCTATAATCCACAACCACAGAGAGGCTAGGAAACAAGGAGGTCACATGGACCCCCAGAGAAGGGGAATGGGTGAAGATCTCCTGATCTAATTGGAGCATGGTAGGGACCTAATCACCCCAGAGGAGTTGATCCTGGGATCGGATATTGGTGGATTATATGGGAGGACAGGAGGGAGAGGGAATTGGGATTGGTATATAAAATAAGATTCTTTTTAATTTAAATAAAAAGTAATTTTAAAACGTAATTGAACAAAAAACACTCAAATTATTTCTTACCCATTTAAGAAAAGCTCTTTTTGTCAAGGAAAAGTAGGAAATATTTAAGTTCACCCTAATATGTTGTGAGACTATAATACAGTTTCTCACTGTTTAAATTAACTAAAGTCACATTAAAAAATCCAGGGACTGTATTGTCTGAATGCCAAATTAAAATTAATAGCTCATGATAACAAAGGCATTATGTTTCATTTCCCAAGCAGGTTCTGTTATTGGAAAGTCATCCTTTTTATAGTACCTGTTTGTTTTCTTAACAAATATTATCTTTTTTTTTTTTTTTTTTTTTTTTTTTTAATCATTTTTTATTTTAATTTTAAATAGCTTGTTTCGCATGTCAATCCCAGTTCCCTCTCCCTCCCCTCCTCCCGCACTCCCCTTCCACCCTCCCTCCCACCCTATTGCCAAATCCCTCCACATAGGGGATGTCTAGAGTCTATCATTTCACTCTTGGTAGGGTCAAGGCACTCCCCTAAGAGTCCAGGCTGAGAGAGCATCTCTCTTTGTGCCATAGGCACATGAAGACAGATTGTATACCAGGGATAGACACTGATCCACAGCTCAGAGCCCCATAGGTTGCCCAGGCCTTCTCACTGACACTCACATTTGGGGGGACCAGATCAGTCCCATTCTGGCCTCCCCACTGTCGGTCTGGGGTCCAAGAGCACTCCCCTGTTCAGATCAGCCGTCTCTGCTGGTTTTGCCAGCCCATTCCTTGCCAATTTGCTCATCACTCCTCTCTCTCTGTCACTGGGTTCCTTGGGTTCAGTTCAGTGCTTAGTTGTGTGTTTGCCTCTGCTTCCATCAGTCCCAGGATGAAGGCTCCCGGATAGTTATAGACATCAAGTTCATTATCAGGAATGGGCATTCGAGGTGGTCCTTCCACTATTGCTTAGCTTGCCAATTGATGTTATACCTTTAGATCACTCGAGGTCAGTGGGACCTGGGAAGAGTAGAGGGGGTAAAGAGGAAGGGAGTGGGTCATGGGGGAACAGGAAGTTGAGGGGGTGGGGGTAAAATAGGGGGAAGAGGGAATCATAGGATCGAAGACAGATCAGGCACCAAATATTATCTTAAACCAATGTTACATTAAATTGTGTTTTTATTATTAAAATCTCATTTTAGTACACAATTCAAACTTGGTAGTAGATAAGATAATTATGCTTTTCATTAAAAACATTTATTAAAATTTACATAGTAAATGGAACCATTACACACAAATAAATTATTGAGAAATAATTTTGAATATCTAAATTTAATGTTTATATACACATCTCCATGAATCCTCCCTCAAATGAGGCACAAAGAATCACTCATATTCTTCACTCTGTTCTACATTCTACAGTTACTTGGTGATGTATTTTCATGGCCTCTGTGAATACAATATCCTATAAGCCTTTGTAGGACTTCAGAACTGAGATGGACAAGAGGATTTTGAGTCCTATCCAACTCATGACCATGACAACAGTTATATTGTTTCCTTTGTTTTTTCTTTCTCTTTTTCGTTTCTCCCATTTCACCCTCCCTCTTCTCTTCCTGCTCCCCCCATCTCCCCTTTTTCCCATCTGCACCTCGAAGATGGTAAGGCATCCCCTAGGATGTCTACAAAGACTGTCCTATTATCTAGTTTAGGTAGGACCAAGGCACCTCTCCACCCCCACACCTCTGTGTCTAGACCGGTCAAGGCATCTCTCCATATAGAATAGGATCCACTCAGTTAGTTTGCGCACTAGTGTTAGATTTTGAGCCCACTATCAATGGCCTCATATATTGTTCCATTCACACCAGTGTCTTCTGTATTAAGGGACTCTAGTTCAGTCTTATGTAGGTTCCCCATTTGTCAGACCTGAATCAGTGATTTCTCACTAGCTCGGGTCAGCTGATTTGGTGGGTTTCCCCATCATGGTCTTGACTCATTTGTTCATATTATCACTACTCCCTTACTTCAATTGTACACCAGGAGCTCGGCCTATTGGGTACCTGTGGATTTCTGCATCTGCTACCATCTATTTCTGGAAGAGGGCTCTAGACTCTCTGAGGTTGTGGATTGTAGACTGGGTATCATTTGATTTATGTCTGGTTTCCACTTATGAGTGAGTACATTCTATATTTGCCTTTGGGTTATCTCACTTAGGATATATTTTTCTAGTTCTGTCCAATTGCCTGTGAATTTTTGGGATGCCATTATTTCTTACCACTGAGTAATATTGCATTGTGTAAATATACCACATTTTCTTTATCCATTCTTCTTATGAGGGACATCTAGGTTGTTTCCAAGACCTGGATATTACAAATATTGTATGATAATACTTATGAAGAGAACATTTAATTGAGATGAGTTGCTTACAGTTACAGAGATTCATTCCATTATCATGATGATGGTGAATATGGTGATCTTTGGGTAGATCTGGTGCTGGAATTGAGAGTACTACATCTTGCAGGCAACAGGAAGTGGACTGGCTGTCACACTGAGAGAGCCTTGAGCAAAAAGGATCTCAATGTCCACCTGCACAGTAACACACTTCCTCAAACAAGGCCAAACCTTCTAATATAACACTCCTTTAGAGGTCCATTTATTTTCAAACTATCACACTATAGATTTACCAAAGGGGCAATTTCAGTGACCACCACTTTATCATGCAATATAGTGAAGTATCAGTTAGTGATAATGTGAGACATTAACTGGGATTTCAATATATATATATATTGAAATATATATATATATATATTGAAATTATAAATATCGATGATTAGAATGCTTTGCAAAGAATTTTCCTTAAGGCAGTTTTAATGTCCTTATTCCTCAGGCTGTAGATGAAGGGATTCAGCATTGGAGTAACAACAGTGTACATCACTGAGGCCACTGCATTATTTCTTGGAGAATGTGACAGAGAAGAGCTAAAGTATACTGCTAGTCCTGTTCCATAAAACAGGCAGACAATGGACAAATGAGACCCACAAGTGGAGAAGGTTTTGTGCTTCCCACTTGATGATGATGATCTCATGATGGAGGAAACTATTTTAAAGTAAGAGAAAATGATTCCTGAAATAGGAAGTAACCCAAAGAAAGTGCCCATACAATATCTGACTATGTTATTGGTGAAAGGATCAAAATGGGAAAGTTTAAGGACTTCAGAAGGACCACAGAAGTAGTTGGAAATTTCAGTAAAATCCTCACAGTTGGAAAAGTTTAATATTGCCACATAGTGCAAGAATAATTCCACAAGGCTAAGGAGAAAAGACCCTAATAGTAAGACACCACAGCGACTGGGATTCATAATGACCTGGTAATACAGAGGGTGGCAGATGGCCACAAACCTGTCATATGCCATCACAGCCAGAAGCATGTTATCCATGCATGCAAAAATTATGATCAGTGACATCTGTGTCAGGCAACCCACATGGGAGATGACTTGGCAGTGGGTTTGGATGTCCACAATAACCTTTGGCACAGTGGTGGAGATGAAACCAATATCAACCATGGACAGGTTGGAGAGGAAGAAGTACATGGGTGTGTGGAGATGGGAGTCAGCGCTTACTGTCAGGATGATGAGCAGGTTTCCAAACAAGGCCAAGATGTACATGGACAAGAATAGGCCAATGAGAACAGTCTGTAGGCCTGGATCCTCTGAGAGTTGAATTAAGTGAAATTCTGGTACAGTTGTTGTGTTTAGTTTGTTTTTATTTCTTGAACATCTTTTGGAAGAAACCAAAAATGTTGTTAGCCATGGAACCACTATGCATGTTAACCTTCTATACAATTTGATTCAAGCAAGTTCAAATATTGATTATTTTCTCAAGTCCATTGTGATGCCATTAATAATTACTCAGGTGTGGCAAATACCATATTCTAATTGCATTTTGTTCCTAGCGTATGCGTCACCTCTCATGAGAGCCATATTGAATACAGTAATCTAGATGATGAGGTCAAAAGTATTGTAAACAGCTGGCCTGTAGTCCCAATAAAGTAAAGCAAACACTTTAAAGACAAAATGTTTCTTTTTATAGAAGCCCCCCCCTTTAGGAAAACTGTCAATCAAATAAAACGAAATCTTGAAGCATTAAATATACATACTTTTATTACAATAACATGAAGGAAGTTTATTTTTCTCAGAATATATCTGAAAGTGTGAAATCTTTGTCTCTCAATAACAAGTTTTCATCCCTACCAGAAAAATGTTTTCTGGTTCCAGTGTCATTTACAGGTTTCTTTTCTTTCTTTGACTTAAAAAAAATTCTCTCTACTCAACTATGCTCATAGCAGCATTATTTGTAATTGCCAGAACTTGGAAAGAATCTATATGCCCTTCAGCTGAAGAGTGGATAAAGAAAATGTGGTGCATTTACACAATGGAGTACTACTCATCATAAAAAAAAATGGAATCTCAAAATTTACAGGCAAATGGATTACACTGGAAGAAACCATCCTGAGTGAGGTAACCCAGTCACAAAAAGACAAACATGGTATGTACTCACTCATATATGGATTTTAGACATGGAGCAGGGCATTGCCAGCCCACAACCTCACCGCCAGATAGTCTGGGGTGCAGGGAGGACCCTAAGAGAGATATGCATGGTAACCCAGAGAAGGGTTAGGGGATGCAATAACCTAATTGGATTGGGGGGCGATTGGGAGGGATGAAAGAGATGGGAGAAATAGAGAGAGAAAAGAGGAGGGGAGAGGAGGTCATGGAAGTGCAGGAAGGTTGAATCAGGGTAAGAATAGAGGAGAAGTGGATGGGAAATACCAGAAAAGATGGAGCCAGTATAAGTTGGAGGAGACATCTGACACTAGTGAGATCTTCACAGATCTACAAGAATGACACCAACTGGCATTAAGGCTACCTTAAATGCCCTCCCATGATAATCAGAATGATGACTACCTCATATGCAATCCTAGAACTCTCATCAAATGGCTGATGGAGGCAGAGGCAGACACCCACATCTGTGAACCAAACTGAACTCCTGGAAACCATTTTCAAAAAAGAGTGATGACCAAAGGAATCAAGATCGGTCTGGCAAACCCACAGAGGCAGCTGACCTAAACAATGGGGAACACATGGATCCCAGACTGATGACTGAGGGGCCAGAATGGGGCTGATCCAGACATCCTCCCACAGAACCAGCGTGACAGAGAGGAGGCCTTGGCAATCTGTGGCACCTGGGAGACTGGAGCAGTATTTATTCCTGGCATATAGAAGGACATGAACCCATGCTATGTGGAGGGATGCTCTTTCAGCCCGGACACATGAGGAAGAACCTGTGCCCTTCCAGGGATGATGTGACAGACCCTGAAAATCCCTTATGGAGACCCTTGCCCACCCTGGGGAGCGGAGGGGGGTGGAATGTGGTTGACGGATTGGGTAGATTGGGGAGTGAGGGAGGATGGGAGGGAGAGGGAACTGAAAGTGACATGCATAAAAAGTTAAATAGAAAATATATGGGAAAATTCTCCATTTTTTTTGCTTGAGGACTTTAAGTCTTTCTTAAAACTTATTTACATTTTAAACCTATCTATCTATCTATCTATCTATCTATTTATCTATCTATCTATCTATCTATATGCATATATGAATATTCCTTATTTCTCTACATCTATATCAAATTTTTGTAAATATGTCTTAGTTAAATCTACACTATCACATAACAGCTCTGTCCACAGATACTGAGTAGTTCAGGGATATTAAAAAATAATAAACCATCAGGAAATACAGTTGAAATTTTGTTCTGCAAAGCTAATTTGGGGAGATCATCTCCACAAATATCAGTAATATATCTGCTATAAAACCATTGTTTCCCTGTGTCTCTGCAATGCCACTGATTTTCTGAAGACCACCCTTCATGATCCAGAGCCCTAGTTTCAGTCTGAGGGGGTAGGGACTCATTCATGAATGTTCATGTTCTTAGGTCAGCTACAGAGGAAACTTCAGGTTCACTTTTAAGTCAGAGCACACTGAATTGCTTAAAATAGAAAAGCTTTGAAATACAGAAAATATTACTGACACAAATACTTAGACAATACCCTAATGGCTAAAGTAGATACCACTTACTTCTCTAGTAGGGTTGTTACAGGATACAATGTCACCAAAGATCATGTAAATTATGTAGACTACTGTGTCTCTGAAATTGTAGGCAGTATTGTTTCCCATCCCTATTTAAAGAATCACAAGATCCCGGACTTCATATAACAATTAAATTAGAATATATACATGGAGATACTAGATTATGCTTACTTCAACCTGGGGTAGAAACCACTGCCTTAAAATCCTTTCTAGCATCTAGAATATATTCAATTAATAACATCTAAGTAATAATACTTTTAACAGTGACTCATTAATACTAAATAATAAGCATTTTACATAATGTATGTGAGATGTGATACTTCACAGAAATTTGAATGGTGAAGAACTTTGACTTCCTACTGGTTCTGCATGATTTCATTGTCTATTCATCTATGTTAATGACTGATACGAATTTAATGGTCAGATATTTCGAGTAATATTTCTATATAAATTCCTATTGAAATACATATAAAGAGCCATTTTAAATTAACCTAATATATACTTGATGTTCATTCAGTATAGTGCAACACAACACATGCTTCCACTCAAACATATTTGCTTACATTGAAGTGAGGTTCTAAGTCTGTCTGTGAACTTCCCACATCAGCTGCAGAGAGATTAGCTGAATCACTGTCTCATGGACAGATAGGCATTAGTTTTTTAGGTATCATATTTATGTAGGAAAAACTGAAAACTGATAATAATAAACTGACCTCCAAATTACCTATAATTTGCTTAGTAAATATTAAACCACATAAAGTAGAATTCACTGAAGGAGTGCACCCAGTTCTCTTATAAGGAAGAGCAAAATTCTCCAGGCAGACAGGCTAATCTTGATTGACAGCTGCCTGGTCAAAGCAGTCCTGGTCTGTCCAGAGAACTGTGACAATAGTATACACTGAAAATCTCCACATTTGTTCAAACAACCGAATTTGTAAGTCCCGTCTCCTTAAAACAACTTTAATTACTCAAAATGTAACTCCAGACTATGAAACTGTGAAAACAAACAGGGTTTCCTAACTCTGTCTTTTTCTTTTGTCCATGAGCCAGACCCAGATCTGTGCTATTATTAAAAGATTTTTCCCTTGTTAATCTCTAAGGAGTAGAGTGATCTCTACCAGAGCAGATTGTTAATTCTGACACAAAATTACTTAGATCACTAAAAACCCATCTGTCTTCCTCTATGAATACCAGTAGTTATTTAGTTGTTATTTAGTTACCTCATAAAAATTTGGTAACTGCCAGACTTGCAACAATAGATGCCTGTGTCTTTTAATACTCATCAGTTAATTGTTCCTATATAAACTATCACCTGGGTCTGAGTATCCCTTTTTTGTATCACTTTATAAACTATTGGGTTTATGACTTTATCACACATAAATATTGTCCACATTTCATAATGATTTTCCTATTTTCCCTTGAAAGACATCCTCCTTATGTGTGCCAGTAAAATGATGAAATCTATCTAGATATACTTCTTCCGAGATGATGCAATATGGGCTACCTCACATAAGGAATATATTTCTACTTGTCTCCAGTGGTGTAAAACATGACTGTTGTTGGGAATAGGTGTATCTAGATAACATTTATGAGTTTCTCCATACCACATGAACAAGGAAGGATAAAAACCCATCTCCATTTGAAAAATGATAAAATTTGCATTGTACTTATTTGTCCAAATTTAAATCCTATGACTACAGAAAATACGAGTTTCTTCGGAAGTATTTCCAAAGGACACTGGGCTATAGAATTATGAGAAACTCTAAAGTGGGTCTACACACAATACACAAAACTGTCTATTTCTTCTTATGACTCTACATTATTTTATCTTCAGGTGAGAATGCATGCAACGATATTTGGATATCCTATTAGTGCAGCAGTAAATACCACTACATTACCCAAAAGTCCATGACACAGAATCAAACACCAATCAAACATCAATTTCTAGGTCACATTCCTTAATGAAATGAAAATGCAAAGGAAAGCCAAGCATGTTGAAAGATGCTTTGAGAGTATAAAGGGTTTACTTAATGTTTAAAATATGTTCATTTCACATATGTGGCAATTACTTTACGTGATATGAAACGAAAAAATGAAAGTTAGAGGTTGTACGTTGTATCAATATACAAAAAATACTTAAATATTGAGTAACATTCACAGAAGACCATAAAACTTTCTTCTAACAGTTAAGTTGTCTCCCAATTACTAATAATGTGTCTTAATTCACATGAATAAATATCAGAGTCAAAATAATTCGAAACAAATGTTTCAATCTTTGATTGTAAAATGTTTTCTTTTGGTTTGTTTTGCTTTTTATTTGATCATTTTTTTATATTCCAAATCATAATATAGTAACATTTCTTCCATTTCACCTCTTGAAACTCCATATATAACTCACCTCACTCTACTTCATATTCACAGCTTCTTTATTCATTCATTATTTCATTCACATATGTACATATTCATGAATTACTAATCATATAGTTTTAAGAAGATATTCAGAGGTCTTAACACTAGATGTC